TGGGGCGCAAAAGTAAACAAACCGCCCACACTCATTCACTCGGGAACTGCAGACTGCACAAATTGAAAAACATACAAAAAGGCAGAGACAGAAACAAAGTTTAAAAAACGAATTGCACTTCAGCGTACAATGGCCATAAATATGAAATTGTATGGTAAATTAATGCTATTATAGCGTCTAAAATCCAACACACAAGAAATAGAAGAAAAATGCTTAGAAAAGAGCAGCAACAGCGGCTAAATAAAGAGCCATATTTGAAGACCTTGTACGTGGGCTGCCTACACAACCAGTTCGCGGATTCAGTTTATTTCAATTTTGTGTGGTGTGCCGGTCTGAGCTGGCCCAAACCGACTGGGCCCGTTCCGGCCAACTCCATCTCCGGCTCCAACTATAGCTCCAGTGCACAGGAAAAAAATGCAGCAAAGATATATCGATATCATATAGATTTTTAGACATCCTATTATTATTTATAAATACAAAAAATATTCTATTACATTTCGTAATCATATTATATCTTGGTTCTTTCGTTTCATATGATTACAAAATCTGTAAGTATTTAAGTGATTTTCTAGCTATTTTCAAAAGTGATTGTCACGGTGATCACATCGTTAAAAAATAAGAGAACTCCTTGGAAATAATACATAACAAAGCTTTAAAAAAATCTCTATCTCGAAAAATATTTTGCTTGGAATAAATTATTATAAAAAATCTTAATAAGCATAGACCTTATTATCGAAGATCACAACTTATTATGAGACCTTAGTTTATTTCAATAGACATTTGTTTCGAACTTCAACTTGATTGATCGTCCAGTTCTTCGGCTATATTTTTCTCTCTGTTTACTACAGACTGACTGTGGCAGTATTTCAGTTTCTTAGTCCATATGTATGCGAGTGTATCGACTTCATACATATGGCGGCACTTGATTTGCATAACAAATGCAGCACAACAGCAGCCGGGGCAAAAGCAAAGGCGAAATCCAAAGAAGAAGGCTGTGGCCGCCGTAGAAGCCGACTCACCCAGCCGTGCCAAAAACAAAAGCCAGCCAAATTGCTGCGAAAATATATAGACTGGCTCAAAATTCATCAAATGCGCACCCAAGAGTCAAAAGCTCGTCTCGCTCAATTACCAGAAATTTCACTCCATTAAGACACACACCTCGCGCGTCCATAAAAAGTGAATGTCTATCATTAAGACAATTTTTTCCAACACATTTTTACTTTTTTTTTGGTTTTTCTTAGCTGCTTTTTGTCTTTTTTGCATCCGCTCGAACCAGCACTTTTCCATTTCCGCTTTTATGCCAAATTAATTGAGCCTAATTACGGCCATTGAATGCTGCGGATTAGATCATCGTGGAGAGGAAGATCACCTGCCGCGCCAGCGAGTGTAAATTAATTGGTGATTTCGGCCAAAAACAGAAATTAATAACCTAGCTGAGAGTTCGTTAAAAAATGCTAATTTCGCTCATTTTGAACGGCGCCATAACGCGACGCCCTTCACATATTTTTCCACCTCAATTTCTAAGGTGACAAAAAAATTGCCACCGAACCTACGCAGAAGACGTGTCAGTTTGAGACAAATTGGCAAAGATTCAAGTATGCCATAAAGGGAATGCCCGGCCGAAAAATAAAACAGCCCATATTTCTACGTGTCCAACGGAACGGAGCCCTTTTGTTATATATTAAAAGGCACCTTATAGAGGGGGAGCTACATAGATTAGCTGGGGAGCCGTTAGTCAGCGGACGTCGATTGCGTAGCACGGTGGTTGTTGTTCACCGATTTGTTTGCATTTTCACATTTATTTATCAACAAATTACGCTGTAAACAAAGGCAAACAGACCGGGCAAACGAACGGACATGGGTGTAGTACTATAGCACATACCTCAAAAGTCCGGCCAAAAGGTTAATTATGCAGCCGGGGACTGGGAATTCACAATACCATATACACACAAGTACGTATTCACATTGTACGGAGGGAAGTTAGTCAGCTCGTCAGTGCGGTTCGTCAATCATTTTCTGGATGGCTTACATGAAAATCGTGTTTGGTTTTTCAGATTGTTTTTCTTTTTTATTCGGTTTTTTGGTGGTCTGTGTTAAACGTTTTCACTGCATTTTTTACAGCCAAACAAATTTTTTGACAAGCAACTGACAGAAATTGACAAGCGGCCGAGCAATGGGCCAAAATGCTGGAGGACCGAAAAGAACCCCACAAACGATATGATGTGAGAGATGGTTCCAGCTGTGAAAAGGTCAACATCTCAGACAACCAGACATGCTGGGTCTGTCGTGCAGAGTTATTGCCTCGTCGTTTTGCCTCACTTTCCAACGATCCGGCGATGGCCGAAAGAAATGAAAAGTGTGGCCTGAGAACCCGAGAAAGAAAGGCCTTTCTTCTCGGACGAAACGACTTTGACCAGCTAATATTGACAAATTAAAAGCAGGTTAATGTGTCTTTAATGTTTGTGTAGTTTTCCCCGGTGGGGTTAGGAATTGTACATAGATGCCGGAGATCCATTGATGCAACATATGTGCGCGGGCATGTAAAAATATACACAAAGATCGGCGCGTATCTTTAAGAACCGACATAAAACACAGATACAGATACAAACACGTGTGTGTAAAAACGGGCAGCCAAAGGCAAGGCAATTCAAAAGTCATTGAGGCGCAAAAGTCAAGCATAAATATTTCAAATAATGTTTGCTGGCCCCGCTGGCATTGGGTCTTGGGTCTTGGGTCTTGGATCTTTGTAAACCCAACTAAACCGCTCGCCCTCTCTTTCCCCCGCTGGGCTACCCCTCTCTTTCACCCGCTATCGCAGTGTGCATGTGTGTGTTTGTGTGGCATAATTTGGTGAGAGTTCGAGTTCAACAGCTGAACAAAAAACAGCACCAAGCACATTAACTTTGAAATAAGAACAACACCATAGAACTCGAAACGGTACACAGGGAAAATTAGGGTACGTGTTAGTCAAGTATTTCTGAAAATCTTCATTAAATATATCGAAAAATTAAATATACGTATAAAAGTATAAGAGAACTGATTGAAAACATTAAATAAAATACGATATTACAAAGATATACAATCCATCTCCTTTTCAGATCACAACATATCATAATATCAACAATAACAAAGATCCAATAATCGGATATTTGAGAACCAAGAACCATGTCGATTGGTAATCATTTCATTCGATATCATATTTTGTTTCTGTGTAAAGATCGGAAAACTGAGAACAGAGAATGGAGCATACAGAGCACAGAGAACCGGAGAATCGGAGAACCGGAGGGAGCTCCCAGCACGATGAGATGAAAAATTCTAGAGGGCGAGCGAGAGCGGCGGGCGTTTCTGTAATAGACGATGTCTACGCTGATGACCTCAGTTAAAAATAAATAATGCCTTACATTGTTTGAAATTAGTGGCTGTTTTTGGGCTCCAGTCTGCAGATGGATCTGCGAGATTCTGGCCGTAAGTTCAGGGTGGCGCTCAGCGATCATAAAGATGCTCTGCTCTCATGAGGTTGGCGACAATAAACACAAAACATGGGGCGCCCAAACAAATCATTTTGTCAACTCAGCTTGTACCCGGCAGCTGGAGAAGAGACATGCATATTTGTGTAGATTCTTGTACGACATTTATCACACAAGAAATTGATGAACCTGCCCCGCCTGATAAATGTCTGCGAGCAGCGAGACTGGGGGAAAGCGTTTCAGTTAAATCGGAGAAAATCTGGGGAAGAGATTAGCTTCTAAGCCGCTGAATTGGGTGTAACATTGCTTTATTTAATTTAAAATCATGGGAGATTATGGAGAAGAGATTAGCTGCCAAGTTACTTATTGTTTGTTTAGTTTTATATTTAGTTTTAAGGTTTGAGGAAGATAAGTTTCTCTAGTGTTTAATGAATTAAACAATCAAGTATTACTATTAGCTTATAGTTGAATAAGGATTCTCAAACTTTAAATTAGTTCCCTAAATTACTATATTTCAAACTATAACTCCATGTAACTCAAAGATATGTATTTCATATATCGTTTATTTTTTGGGTCTTTCCCAGCCAGAAGAAGAATGCCAGGCCAGCCGAAATATTGTTTCAGTTTTATTTACCTGAAATTTGCTATTTTATCAACCACCCAGCACAAGTGTTTCGCTGCGAACTTATTTACATACTTATCGGTACATATGTGGAGTATAAACAACAAAGGCAGACACAATGAAAAAACGAGTTTATATATAAGGTGGCTATGCTGTAAAATTATAAAGGGCGGACCATATCAAGAGTGCTGTTATGGCAGACAAAACGGGTCGCCAGCTCAAAAACTCGGGGGTTAAAAGCGATCTACGCCGATGACGCACCATAGAACCGGAAATTCTGTTTTTGTCATTACGCTGAGTTCTCAATAAGTATGCAAATCGGATTGTTTGTGCACTTTTCGGTGTTTATTCCCAGGGAATGGAAGGCAAACTACCGAGGGGACAGAACCACCACTCGACAAGAGTGTAAACAAACTACACAGCGATTATGATTTATGAATCGAAATAAACGCTGACAATCCAAACAGCAGCGGAAATGCCAAAGAAAACCGATCAGAACCAAAAGCAACCAATAGCAATCTGAGATAACTCAAGAAACTGGCTTCATCGCGTCGCGTAGATAGTGCCAGCGACTAACTAACTGTAAACATATATTAAATAGGTTATCACTATCATTTTCGGCTCGCAGCTGACAAGATAAAGTTGAGCCACAAAAAAAGGGGGGAGAGAGAGACTAGAAAACCCAGCAACTCAGGTAAATTTTGGGGAGTGAAAGTAAGTGGCAAACCCGGCGACAATCACAAGATGTATCTAAAACTCTGACGTTTCGTTCTAGGAAGCCCCGAAGCCACTCATAAACCACTGAGATCCCGAGATCTGGAAATCTGCAGATCACAATGGTCTTTCAGATAAGCTAGTTTGTTTACCCACCCCTGAAGATAAGCGACATGGGGTCCCGAAGCTCTATTTACCTTTTTAGATGCGTTTGCAGCTGGTTCACGAGAAGAGAGTATCTGTAACTTTTGCTTCTTTCGTATTTTTCGGTTTCACAACACCACTGAAAATTCCATAAACACCAAATAGAATTTCGCTTTTGTGTATTTCTTCACAATACTTTTCTTTTCGTATATCTTGAGATGTATAATTTCTCTTTTATTTTCGTTACTTCGTTTATTTTATAAATTTCTTGTAATCACTTGTATTTATTTCTCGTTTTCAACAACAACATTTCGTCATGTTTTTTTCTATGGGGCGTACAAAAAATGTAGTAAACGTAATCGAAAACAAAAGCACACGCGTTCCCCCAGTTCTCTCGCTAAGGAGAGAAAGAGATGGCGGTGGGGCCAGAAGAAAGGGAAGGAGACAGATAGGGGGAAGCAGAAACGCACGCACACTCTATAAGAACGGAATCGAACCGCAAAGAAAACCGATTTTTATGCACTATTTAGCTTTACATTTTTCCTGTATATAGTTTTTATTTATATTTTTTCTTTGCTTTCGAAAAAAGGGGTAAGGGAATGTTTATTTTCTTATTTTTTTGGGGGGATGTGCTGAAACCGTGCGAAATTCAAGCCTGACAAACGATGCGTTTGTTTTATTTGCAACTGCCATTTCCACGCTTGTTTCTCATATTTTCTCTTATTTGTTTTCCGAAAAACAAACGATTTCTTTATTGTTAAATGGAGAGTGTTGTTTTTAATCGCGATCGTGTGAGTGTGCCTCTGTTTATCGCGCTGGTGATTTTTTGTTGACTCGAAGAAATTCGTTCACACCCGCGCCATTCATAAAACGTATCCCAAAGATACGATCGTCACGCACTCACAGTTTCGTCACTGCTTCAGACGCTTAACTAAGTAAATACATTTTAAAAATCCATATTTCTCCAGATTCTCTTACGCACGATTGTAAAGTGCAATGTTTTGAACGGCAAAACGAAAACGATCCGCGAGCAAAACCGCTTTCGTCGGTAAAAATTTTCAAACTGAAACCGCCTTGGAACGGAAACTCACAGCCGTTGAGTTAACAGGGGCAGCCGTAACATTTAGCGGTTAACAGAGCGGCTGGCTGCTAAGTTAACATGTACGAGGGCAATTCGCTCTGAGTTAACATGTGCGAGAACTACGATTACCGGTTAACAGTGCGAGCTAACAGGCCAGAACTGCAAATAACGGGTAAAGAGAGAGAAATGAGCGGCGCTCAAACTGCGCTAACAGCTCATTTCGAGCTGATCGAGTAACAGCGATCTGCTGTTCAAGAAGAAATCCCCTTAGAATTTTTCATTGAAAGTAAAAACTGTTGGGAAAACTCCCCTTTGAATGTGTTTGTAGGTTTCACACAACCATTCGAAAGTGTTTGTAAATTTACACTAACAAGGGGCGATAAAACCCCATCTTAGAGTCTTTTCTATGGCTTATTTAGTGTGTTTGGTTTTCGGTTTTTACGACCCGGGTCTCTTCTTTGCGCAGCCTCTTTCAGCGTTTATCGGCTGGCATCTCCCTCAGTTTTTATCAGTGGAGCATTGTCTTATCTGCAGATTTATGGCGCAACGTGGATTTAATAGACCCCAGTTCACCCGATTCCTGGAAGTCGTCTTAACACTTTCGTTGTCTCAATTTGATTAGCGCCTGCATTGGCTTAACACTTTTCTATCCATTTATGAACCACAACGCAAGGGAGAACTATATATGTTATATGAACTTAGTGAAGATCAAATAGGAATTAACTGAGTTGTTTACTAATCATATAACTTACATTGCACAAGCTTTGTAGAAAGATAAGGATACTATATGGACTTGAAGTACCAGTTGCCATTCTAATTGACATCTTATGAGCTGCTAGCAAATAAATTCGTAGTATGTTTTTAAGTAACTTTTTTTTAAATCAGTTCTCAGCAATATTGTTCAATAACAAAGCAGAATAATCTTTCAGCTAAATCTTTAATTTGTATTGCTCTTAACTTATTATTATATTCGGCATGCAGATAATTTATCTTAATGATTAAGATTCATAAGCCCTAAAATTAATAGACCAATGAACCCTAGTTTTAAATCATTTATAACTCTGCATTATATCTCTAAGCAACACCAAATTAAAGACACAAGAGTTGAAATTATAAACACCTCTGCTATTGCCAGTTAATTAATGTTAAGATGCGTTTACAAAAACTAAAGAATTTTGTAAAGCCCAGGAATTAAGCATTTAAATAATAAATCATCCCTATAAGGGAGAATGAACTCTCGTCCTGAGCCAATTGTTGAATGAACCCAGACAGCTAACAACAATTCGTCAGGATTAGCCGTGTCAACTCTTTCCTGTTTTTGTGCCATCTCCTTCTTTTCCCACTCTATTGGCTTTCCTCTTTCGTTTTCTTTTCACCTTCCCTCCGCATTTCATAACGTTTTGAGGTGTGTTCGCCGGCCTCATCCTTATCGAAGGTGCGCATCAACGTCACAGAGATATCCCATATACCCATATAGCCATAACCATTCCCGAGCCGATCTACGTGCCCGGGTTCTCTCGCTGCCTTTGAAATCGAAACTGCCCATTGTGTTGAAATCTAAGCAAGCGTGTGAGGAGCTCCCCAGTCCCTGAATCCCCGAATCCCGGTTCCAATCCCAATCCCAAACTCCATTCCGTGTGATGTGCTGCATGCTTGATCGATAGCGTCTGGTCTCCTTGATTTCCAGCGAAAGGTAAACACAACAAAAGCGAAAATATTGAGAGACAAAAAGATGCCACGCAGATATTTTCGGGAATATTTTGAATAGTTTTCAATGCCAATGACAGCAGGAGAAACTTTTCTTAGAGAGTGCACAGGGAAAAATAAAATTAGCCTTATTTGAAAGTAGCTTTTTAATTTAATTTAAATCAATTTGATTAGATTGATAATTAGATAGACAATCTGCATTGGAATCAATGCAGTTTTTTAATTTGTTTAAAGTTAAGTTAATTTATAAATTGTTTAAATGAAACACTTAGAAATAGCACAAACACTCCATTATATATTTTCTCCACTTTACGTGTACTTTTCACTTTGGCATAAATAATGCCGAATGAAATGCGATAAACAGAGTTATATATTTGCACACAGCGGGGAGCTGGCCAATAAAGTTGTATGGGGTTTTCCATAATACCCCGAACCGAGTTAAAACCGAACCAAAACCAAAACTAAAACCAAAACCGAAACCGAAGCGAGTGAAAAGTGCCATAAAAAAGGCAATGCTCGCGTCGCTTTTGCACTCACTCAGCGACATCATTCTGTTAATGGTCGCACTGTCTCCAAACGTAGCGATATGCAGATTTTTCGCAATGGTATAGTATAGTATAGCCTGTATGTGGTAGAGGGGAATCCCCCCTAAATGCATTTGCGCCATTTGTTGGCCTTGCCATTTGGCTGATAAGTCAAGTTTTTATGGACGCGCGCGCATTTAACTTGATTATAAACGACGGCAGGCGGCCGGGCCATATAAAATCGCTTTTCATTATGGCCCAGGCATGTGAAATTAATAAGCCAGCCGACAGCCAGAAAGCCGGGCGGGCCAATATTTTGGCCAAAATCACAACGCCGCCGCCAAGTTCGTTGCCTAAGTCTTTTGTTTTGCTTTCGGCTTTTATGTATTTTCATTTTTTCGCCCAGCCTAAACTCCCGCTGCGCGTGTTTGTGGCCAAACAAACTCCAGAGCCGCCTTAAATGTTCATTAATTCAAATTGATTCTAATCGCGACGCCTTCATTAATCTAAGCGCCACCCCACGCAATGCATTTTCTATTGCCCGCAAATTATTTATTGATGAGCCTCGCCGCGAAATTGGCTGCCGGATTCGGTTGCAGCCACAATTGCATGATTAATGGGCGGATACCCGGAGTGTCCATGGAGGAGTCGCAGAATAGGACCCTTGTTCTATGACAAACGATCGTATTTATGGCTCTATTCACCGGCCACAGGTAGTCACGTCTCTGCGCGTGTTTGCCTTTCGCCCATGGAATCCTTGGCCAGTTCACTTCCGCCTGCCAGCCACTTGTTACATGGCGGGCAAACAAGAAACACACATTTTAAGTGCTGTTTGTTTTGACCGGGAGGCGGGGAGCGAAGTCGAGTCCCGGAGATAAGTCTTTCGGGTCCTTCGATTGCAAATGCCAGACGGCAGGCCAGTCAGCTATAAACTGACACATCTCTCATGACTTAACGAGTGACTCAGGGGCTGGGCAAATATGGATCATATCTCCCCTAAAACTGTGTTATATCTGCACTGGGCGAGAAATCTGGGACTAAAATTGTAGAGTAAAGTAAAGTAATGTTTTAAGTACAGGATACAAAATAATTATGTTTTCTTAACAGGGTATTTATGTAAAATATTATTTACAAACATTGCTAGTCTGGGTGTATCAGCTACACTGTACCTACACCTTTTTAAAATCATATATATTATGATCACAGAAAATTCTTTACTGAAGTTTGGGTTGTATAAGGAAAAATGTAGGATAAAATATGTGATAACATTTTTATCTTTTTTACTTAACTTAACATTTCTTAATATTTTTTTCTACTTACAATTATTTAAAGTTTAATTGTAAGACAAGGCTCTTGTTATTTAATTCACAATAAGCTAATTTTAATATTCCCCAGCTTCTCGTACGGTATTTTTCCCAGTGTTTCTTACCAAAACAAAGCCAAAGCTGTGTCAACATGGGTCCAAAAGCGGGATCGGGTCAGCTGCTTTTGGCCAGAGGCGACAAAGGAAGCGAACTGAACCGCTCAAGGTTGCCGCCGACTTTGGGTCAAGCGGTCCAAGAGCCGCGTGAAAATCTTGTTAAGCATTTAATGCCAATGAGCAAATATAAATCAACATGACAAATGACCAAAAATTCTCGGCGACAACATCGCAGCCTTTAAAGACACCAAGCCACCAAAGCAACAACAAGGGCCACAAGAGTGTTGCTCTTGCGTTGTACTTGTTGTACTTGTTGCACTACACGGTGGCTGCCTTTGTTGCTGTAATTGTTATGCTGCTACAAGCCATTGTTGCGCCAACGAAATCTGCATAAATGGGTCAGCGATCAGCATTCAGCTGCCGCCGGCGGTGGATTTACCTTTGCCTTTGTGTACTTGTTACGCCCGCGGGAGCAAACTCATTGAACCCCATTGAGAGTGCTGCTTTTTTACTCTTAACAAGTAAAGGTAATCTTGGAAAATATATTCCAAGTTGCAGGGGCTTGAGAAACCATATTTAACACCTAGTTATTAAATTTAAAAAATTACAATTATATGCCAAGTTTGTATTTATTCCTGGGCAATAGAAAATTTTAATTTAATTTAATTTAATATGCACCCAGTTTTATTTCTTCCTGAGCAGCTTTAGATTTTCTGAAGCTATTAATATTAATGGATTTCTTTGTCCTCGACATTACCAAAGACAATCAAACAATTGAAAAACAAGAGTAGTTGGATCGATCCATCCATTATACTTTTACATTTGCACTTGGCTTTGTTTATAATTTTCTTAAACAAAGAAGACAGAAGCCTCGCCGAGCCCATTGTTTTGCCTTCGATTCGTATTATTTGTGTCTTGTTAAGCTGCAATGCCAGATGTGTGCAAAAATGGCTATCAACACCACTAGCTGCATTCCAGGAAGCTCATATTTCTAGAATTTTTACCATGTGCGAGTGTGCCTGTGGCGGTTGCTAAGTTCAGAGCCGCCATGAATTTGTGGCCAAGACCTTGCTGACAACATTAGACCCTGAAAATGGGCGGCCGGAAAACTCGCTGACAGCATGTGGTGAAAACAGCGACCGCCGAAAGGAAAACCAGAGGGAAAAAGGGAGGCTTCGGATGGCGATGCCCCACAGTGTGTTCGTTGGCATCCACACTCGATATTATTTTCGTGCATTTTCTTGGGGCTGCCGCCGCCGCCGTGTCTACGCCGGATCAACTGGCTCTGTAATTATAGAGAACGCTTGCCGTGTCAC